ATGCACGAAGAACAACTTTTAAGTTTTCAAAGGAAATTCAACAACAAAAGTTACTGTATGCAAAAGCTCAAGAATTGAAGCGAAAGTGAAGAAAGCTCGATCAGAAATTGCGAAGCCCTATTTATAATTTCCCATTTCTGACCGTTGGAGATCTTAATTAGGGGCGCGTACAACCGACGCGACTCCTAAATCCCAATTGGCGCCACATTTTCATCTCGCAGGAACCTACTGTACACGTGGCACCCTATTAAAGGCGACCGTTACCTTTTATTATCATTACAACGTGACCGCGTCGACCGTTACGTCTGTTCAGATCTCTTCTATTGCTTCCCAGACAATAACAAATCTTCACCAAGTGTTCTCACCCCGGAAATTAACACCCACTTCGGCAAAAACGATTCACCTCGGTAATTTCCCTGTCGCGAGCGTCTTAACACGAGCAAGTTTCCCGCACAGACTGCAACCGAGTCGGATCTCAACCCATCTTTTGCAACATCGACGACCATCACCCTGTATGATCGCCGATATTGGGGGCCTCTCTGTTATCATCCAACTCGGCAAAGCATTGATTAAGGAGTCTTAAGCATCATGTTAAGTGAAATTAACCATCGAACCGGCGTGATCCAAAGTCGTGCTAGTCCGCGCAATGAACCGGTCCGAGCTACCGAAGACCGAAGTAACCTATACCTACCGAAGTCACACCAAACCGAGGCAAGCATGAACCGAGGTCTCACATCTTAAAGCAGGTGACAAGGAACCTACGCACCCCTATCGCGACTTACGAGATTTGACATCATTAAGAGTGGGGGCCACAGATCTCGCCGCCCACTAAAAAGTAGCTTTATGAAAAAGCAAATGCACAGATCCCGATATGTACATAAAAAGTTACTATAAATAGCTAACCTATGACACTTGTATGGAGGATCCCAAACTCATCAATATGCAACACGCAATAGCCCATAAAGGCTTTTCACCTCGGTCCACCTCGGGCTGGGGCCATTGTTGAGTTGTTCTTACATGCTTTATGTCCAAACCGCTAACAATTATCACCTAAATCTCTTGTTACATCGTTGTCAAGAATCGCACGACAACACTTTTCCAAACATCTTTGGGTGTACATTATGAAGACGAAGATGAAGTATTTGGTGTCTTCATTACATGGATGACAAAAATTGAGAATTCGACTAGAAGGAAGATCAAGTTCCTACGAACGAACAATGGTGGAGAATATACAAGTGATATTTTTCAAGAAGTTTAGCGTAAAAGTGGCATTGTCAGACACTTCAACGTTAGACGGATGCCACAACAAAAGGGATGGCGAAGCGCATGAATTATGAATATTGGTGGAAAAAAGTTTGATGTATGTTCTCCAATGCTGGTTTGGGAAAAGAATACTGGGTTGAGACTGTAACACACGCACAACACCTCATAAATAAGTCGATTGTCGTCATCTGCAAAAGATGGTAAAATACCGTTGGAGGTATGGTCGGGAAAACATGTTGTTGACTATGGATCTTTACATGTCTTAGGGTGTCCTACGTACTATCATGTGAAAGATTCAAAGTTAGATCCAAGAGCGAAAAAATCTTTGTTCATGGGAATCACCATTTGCATGAAATGATATTATTTTTTGTGTCTTGAGATGAAAAAAACTGTGTTTAGCAGGGATGTTACATTTGTTGAACAAGGTACGATAAAGATGAAGCAAACCTAACAGGTGGAGTTAACACCGAAGCAGGTGAAGATAGATGCGATGACGAGACAACCAACTATGATCAACGAATCAATGTCAAGAATCATTAGAGTTACCCATTGCATTGAGAAAGCCAAGACGGGAGATTCAACAACTTGCTTGATTGGCGGATATGGTGGCTCATGCACTTCCGATTGTTGATGATGACACCTCTCACTTTTCAAGATGCACTTCAGAGTTAAGAAAATAAGAAGTGGAAACGGGTTATGAAGGAAGAAATGTTGTCTCTCCAAAATAATCAAACTTGGAAGGTGATGCAACTACCAAAAGGCAAGAGGGCGATAGGATGCAAGTGAGTGTTTGCAAAGAAAGATGGATTTCCTCAGAAGAATGATGTGCGCAACAAGGCGAGATTGGTGGCTAAAGGCTACCCTCAGAAGGAAAGAGTTGAATATAATGAACTGCTTTCTACAGTTGTTAAGCACTCTTTTATTAGAATATTGTTGGCCTTAGCAGCATAGTTGAATTAAGAGCTAGCTCAGCTTGACGTGAAAGCAACGTTCTTATACAAAGAGTTAGAGAAAATCTACATGACTCAGCCAGAAGGATCCAAAATTCCTAGAAAAGAGAATTGGGTCTGTAAGTTGAACAAATCGTTGTACAGACTGAAGCAATACCCGAGACAGTGGTACAAACGATTTGTTAAGTTCATGACTAGGCAGAAGTACACACGAAGAAGACATGATCATTGTGTGTATCTATGAAAGCTGCAAGATGAATCTTTGATTTACTTACTTTTATATGTGGATGACATGTTAGTTACATCAAAGAGCCAAGTGGAGATTGATCATTTGAAGGCTTAGTTGAATCAAGAGTTTGAGATGAAAGACTTAAGAAAAATCTAAGAAAATACTCGGGATGGAGATAAGCAGGGACATATTGAAATGAAAACTTTGTTTGACCCAAAAACTATATCTAAATAAGGTACTGCAGCGTCTCGACATAAAAGATGAGTTGAAGCCTGTAAGTACACTACTTGCCCCTCATTTTAAGTTAAGTGTCCAATTATCGCCAAACTGTGATGAAGAACGAGAGTACATGACTAGAGTCCCATATGCAAATGCAGTTGGCAGTTTGATGTATGTGATAGTGTGTACAAGGCTCGACATTTCACAAGCATTTGGTGTTGTTAGCAGGTATATGCATGGCCCTGGTAAAGGTCATTGACGAGCTGTGAAATGGATTCTATGGTACATTCAAAATACTATAGACGTTGGATTAGTTTATGAACAGGATGAATTTGGTCAGTGTGTAGTTGGATATTGTGATTCTGACTACACGGGTGATTTGGATAAGTGAAGATCAACGACTGTATAGTTTTTCACTTTTGCAAAAGCTCCAGTTAGTTGGAAGTCTACTTTACAGTCAACGGTTGCTTTGTGTACAACAAATATAGAGAATATGACAGTTACTGAAGATGTGAAGGAGACTATTTAGTTTCAATGTTTGCTCGAAGACTTAGGAGTTGGTAAAAAATACATCTTAGTGCATTGTGATAGTCAGAGCACTATTCACTTAGTGAATAATCAAGTATTTCATGGAAGAACGAAACCTATCGATGTTCACTATCACTTTGTGCGAGAGATTCTAGAAGATGGAACAGTTGTGTTGAAGAAGAACAAGACGACGGAGAATCCTGCAGATATGATGACCAAGGTACAGTGAATAAATTTGAACATTGTTTAGACTTGACCAACATTCTACATATTTGAGTTGACGCTGAGAGGCGCATTTGAATGCACCGCCAACAGTTGAGTTGGATTGAAGAGTCGGAGTGAGAACAAAGTAGTCATGGTGGAAAATTGTTAAATTTTGATTAATTGTTGTCTCGTATCGGATGTGTACCAAAGATGTGTAGGATCTTTTTAGTATAAATAGGTCTCTTGTCTTTGGTTACAATTGCACTTTATTCTATTATCTCATATCTTAGAAGGAAATCCTTACTTAAAGAAATCCTAATTTGTAGGTTATTTAACCCTAATTGTATTTTGTTGGTGAATTTAGTAGTTTTGGCGTTGCAGTGGGCGGTGCCCGGAGAAGTAGACAATTTTTTTGCAGAACTTCGTTACCAATTTTGCATGTTCTTCTTTTTTCGCCTTTTTCTTTATTTGTGTTGACTTATACTCGTTACTAGTAGTACTTGCTATATTTGTTATATGAGTATTTTTATTCATTGCGCTTGTTGTTCTACTCCAGAGAGAAGTTCTTTAAGCTTGATCAAGCTCAAGCAGACGTGGCCAATTGTCGGGCCGCGATGCCGGGTCGGGTGGCCTCAATCGCATGGCCTGTGATCTAAACCGCCGGTTCACTGACCCAACGGATTTCGGACGGTTCCAAACTAGTGCGGCCCAACCCGGCGGGCCTCAATCGCATAGCTTGTGACCTAAACCGTTTGTTCACCGACCCTGCGGGTTTCGGGCGGTTCCGACCCTTAAAAAAAATAACATTGTGACCCGTCATCCAACCCGCGACCCGACTCGGGTCGTCGAAACCAAAAAAAATTATGAACCAAGACCGAACCGCGACCCTAAGAGCCCGATTCAACGAACCGGCTTTTAGGAGGCCGGTTCGGGCGGGGTTGGGCCCGGTGTTGACTCACCCCCCGAGCCTAGGAGCTTGGCTCGATCATGATGGTCGCGGAATATCTTATCCGCGTCGTGTTTTAGTTTCGAGCGTTTAGGCCTATGGCCTCTTTCTTTGTACAAAAAAAAAAATAAAAAAGATTTGGCTAGAGATATCGAGGTAAGAGATAGGAAGCAACGGGAAAAGTTGACATTTTTTTCTCTAGAAATGTTGTAAATAGATCATTACATGTGAGTACGAATCTCAAGTCAAAAAGGGATTGAGATTGACATTATGTGCAGTTTATGTGGTGAGGCAGGAGAAA